GTATCTGTATCTGTATCTGTATCTGTATCTATAGCTATAGCTATAGATATGGATATAGATATAGATATAGATATATCCATAGATATATCCATATTCCATCCATATCCATGTCCATGTCCATATCCATGTCCATGTCCATGTCCATGTCCATGTCCATGTCCATATCCATATCCATATATATCTATATCTATAACTATATCTATATCTAATTTATCTATTTGTTTATATTTAAAAAATGTATTTCATTTAATTCTTAAAAAATGGACGGGCTAATTGGCATCGAGACTGTTCTGGCGCCAAACATTCCTTATATAATTTTCGTCTACAATGTACGAACCGAAGTGATCAAAACAATAGGGTAAAGTAAATGTACTTACATATACTTGATATTCCTGCTGCTGGCGCTTGATTTGCAAATTTCGCAATAGTATCATTTTTTGATGCGCAAGTGTATTTATTAAATTTAAAGTCAAAAGACAAACATATAAACATTTTCGCTGCAAAGAAATTCATGTCTTCGAGCAGATTTTTTCCTATTGTGATCACTGGAGTTCTATTCGTTTTCAATTTTGAGTAGTATTTTAACGATGTGTTTGTGTAATCATTTATCATTGTTGCTGCGCATATTACATTGTCTATGTCGCTTTGTCCAACGATATCAATGCAGTCTGATTCTGAAACGTTTTTCGCTTCACATTTAAAATAACATGATTGCTTATCGTAGGCACTTTTCCACTGATCTAATGCACACATCCTTTTTGATGACTCATTTAGATTATCCATGAAATAGTAGTCGAATTGTACTTCTCTCCCAAAGTTAGATGCTATACGGGGAAAAGATTCACTGAAAAATTCTTTGTCTTCATATTTGGAAAAATTTGAAAATATATTGACTATTTTAGGTCGTTCTTTATTCCTTGGGTATGTAGCTCTCAATCTAACATTCTTTGGCCAAGGTTTAATTAGACGTCCACGAACAGCTTTATGACTGATACAATTTGCAGGATGTTTTGTTCCAAAATATGCGCATATGAACGACATTACATTGTCGTGGAAAATTTGAGATATCATTCTCTTGCCTATGGTTACTATGGGGGTTGTAGTAACGTTAAAACTGTTGTAGTTATTAATGGATGTATATCTATAGTTCTTGAATTTTGAAGCTGCACAAATAATTGCATCTATGTCTGTCCAGCCAATATTGTTGATACAATCAATTAATTCCGAGCCACTTACTTCACAAACGAAGAGTTCAAGTTGCTTTTCGTAGTCGTTTTTCCATTGGTCAAAGGCACACATTCGCTTAGTTGCGGCATAATATTCGTCTATAAAGAAAAACTCAAACTTCTCCGAATCAAAAGCTTTCACTAATTTTGGAAAAATTTCTGTTAGAAACTTCTTGTCATTTGTTTTTGTAGGATCGGTGTAAATCGTTATTACATTATTGTTAGTTTGACTATTTTTCACATTGTCAAGACAATTAACTCTTGCCACCATTGCAAAAATACTCGTTATTATAAGGACGAAGGAATATACCATAGTTGATGCTGTTCGTAATGATAATGAGAACAATTTTATTTTTGCTTTTTCATTTCCGTTCTAATTTCGAGATGTATTTTATTGCAAGAGATTGTGAAGTAAATGGTAATAAAAATCATAAAGCTTAAAGACGTTACTATTTTAATTAGTATTTTTCTTACGATATTCTTAAATTGGGACTTGCGTATGTTTGTAAACATTTAAAAAAATATATAATTCAAAATACTGAATTTAATATAATATTATGTTAGGATTACAATATAGAAATGACTCGCAAAAAATATGTTATTCTCTTAGACTATTCTTTTTTTCCATTCTCTAAGGTTATTATTTAGCTCTACAGTGACTTTTAGGGAGATTTTTTGTTTTTTAATGTTGTCACTGGTTTTGAAAAATATGCCAAATACACCTACAACACTTCCGCATGAATTTGTTTGCTGTATTAAACCATATTGGAATGCCTTAGTGGGGGTTACAGATTTCTTCGACTTGTCACTTGATTTTTTAGCAATTGATATTAACGTTTCTATCTTTAATTGATTTGCATAAATTATGGTAAAATGCTATTTTCATAACAAAAAAATGTTAGTATTTACATGCGAATTTTGCTATTCAGGTCTTTGTTATGACCAAGTTGTGAATCCATCCTCCTCTTCCTTTTTCATCGAAGATTGATATGCGATAGACGTATTAAAGGCTGTCTCAGTAAGTATATACCCTATATAGTACATTTTAATATGATGAGAACCGGACACGTTCCATTAAATAGTTTCGCTGTCTTGATGAAAAAAAAACAATTCTCCTAATTGCGACTTATGTGGAGTACTGGAACACACATACATATCACTTGTTACTGAAGTGTGTCTGGTAACAGAAGGCGGCGTTGATGAGAGACTTGCAGATTAAGTGAACATCCGTAGGTGTTATAAATTGTATACTAGGCAATCCCCACTCTAGACGGTCAAAAATATTGTTAGCATTTGTTGAATCAAGACAGACAGACATGTACGTTACACAAAAGCTCCTAAATAAATAAATACACAAAAAAGTACATTTTAATTCAACAAACAAAGATATGATACCGCCCATGACTTTCATGTGACTGTAACACATCCGCGAATAATAAAATAAATCATCTACTAGTCACTTCCCTCTTCGGCGGTGCTTTCAAACAATGAGGACCAATTTCAGGAGGCTGTTTTGTCTGTATTCATAGATATTCAGTCAAACAAGACTATAATAACAAAAATCCACTTCTAGGAAAAAAAACTGGGGAATAATTATAGATAAAAAAGGTAGAGAATAATAAATTGTCTGTTGTGCATATTTTTTTTTAAACCATAAATACATATAATAGTAGCCAGAATCATCCTCCTGAGGTAAACCAACACAAATAGAAGTGACCAAGATCCTCCTTTTTTTTTCGTGGGGAAACAATCCAGTCCGCAGGAGCTGCGGAGATCATCGTAATCGTGATCGTTTCTCAAAACGGTCCCATTGCAAATCAAACTCGGAACCTCATCTAGCGCCCACAGTGTTAGTCACTGAGCTACCAATGATCTTAGTCGATAATCTAACGTCATACGCTATCAAGCTACACCACCGTCCACGAGTTCTTTTATATTACAATGATTTTAGGTACTGCAGGTTAAGCTACGGGATATTCGACTTAAAAAGCATGAAGATTCTTTAGCGGCCCTCCTGAAAATTGAAGTGCAAGCTGATGAACTTATTGATGATAATGTGACAGTGCCAGGCCGGACGCTTTGCTTATTTCTTTTACAATTTATTCATATATTTGCTAATGCTCCAATTCACACTCTTATTATTCAATCAACGCACTATTTATCACAACTAACTTGTCATTGTGTGTGTGAATCAGGATCATGCAAAGAAATTTTTACACTCCCTTGCAAGATAATTATCGGCAACCGTAATTTACAAATACCTCACAATAGACGTAACTTGAGCCTCGAGGTAACTTCTAGCTCACAAAATAATCGAATGTTCGACAAAATCAAAGGCTTTATAGAATTTTTCTCAATTTAACAAATTTTTTTCTTAGATGTTGTACATCAAACGAGGCGTTATTTAATATTCATTTTAAGGATAAAATAATAATAGGGTTGTTTAATAAAAAATCAAAACTTTTTATATAAAATAAATTGTGTTAAAACAAAATTTTAAGTATTAAAAAAGTCTCTCATTACTGTTAAAAGTAGTAGCAGTTGAGTAGTTTTCCTACTATGCCTGTATTTCCACACGTGTAAAAAATAATGGTATAGAATGTACTCACTTAAACAACGGGTAAAGGAAAGCCAATACGCGTAAAATGGCCACAACCGTTCTTCAATTTTTAAATTTTGCACATGCAACAAAATGTTGCAAACTCTTTATTTATTTATAACTTTGTTGTTTATGATTTGTCGTGATCTTGTTTTTTGTTATTTTTTCGCTTTTACTGTGAACTAGCATGAATAACATTTAAATTACGAATAATTTCTATATTTTACTGTTTACACAAGTTTTGTATTCATCACACAATAGAAAATAATGAAGTAAGTAACAATTGAGTTACATGCACATGGGACTTGCTGCTCAGTGAAATTAATTTTTTAAATAATAAACGATTTATTTATTATTTATTAGGCGCAGTGGCCATGTCCCTCAGATCCTTGCGATTTAAAACTCTGAGTGGCACTGCAACTGCTATGGACAGGCGTGTCGTTTAACTTCAAGCACACGACCTTCGTCCCGTCACTTGGTATCATAAAAAATCACAGATATATTTTACCACATAGGGCACTATAAGTTTCCGGAACTGGCCACTTACATAAACAATATTTAAAAAGTACTTACAACATTTGAAAATGGAACTCTTCGGTTGTAGAATACAGTTTGTTTCATCTGACTGTTTTTACATTGTGGCGTTATTTTAGAAATTGGTTGTCTATTTCATCATGGATTTAAGTCGTGAACATTTTCGTAGAATGATTTTCTACGACTTTAAGTGTAATGCAACAGCTCAGCGGAGCTTCGCTCGGCTTCAAACTGCTTTTGGCGATGAAGCACCGTGCAAGACGACTATTTACAGCTGGTTTGCAGAATTTAAACGCGGTCGTGTGAATCTCAGTGACGAATTTTGTGATGGTCGCCCATCCACTGCTGTGAACAATAAAAACATCGATGCTGTGCGCCGTATGATCAAAACAGACAGGTATGTGACATACCATGAGATTTGGGCGTCTTTGGGCACAGGCATGAGTTAAATATAATCAATACTATACAAACATCTGTTGCTTTGTTGAATAGTTGTATTGTGAATAGTATACACGACCATTTGTTTGCCGGAAGTTATTCACAAACTCCGTTAAAATAACCGTAAACGCCGTATCATCTTGCACCACGATAATACCAGTTCTCACACGGCCAGACGGACAAATGAATTTTTGAAGGTGAACAACGTTGACCTTATGAGCCATCCCGCGTACAGTCCCGACCTGGCACCTTGTAACTTTTATTTATTTCCAAAAATTAGAAACCAGCTACGTGGTCAACGATTTTCATCACCTGAAGAGGCTGTTGAAGAGTATGAAAAATATGTTTCAGATTTGTTACGGAGGAGTGGCATAAATGTTTTCAAAATTGGTTCATTCGTATGAAAAGTACACTTACGCTAATGGAGAATATTTTGAGAAACAATAAATTAATTTCTGATCATTTATAGTACTTTTTTCTTATTCATTCCGGAAACTTATAGTGCGCCTCGCATATATAGTATAATAAACGAAAAAAATATATATATACAAAAGTTAACGAGCTCCAAAACAGTTGTTTTATCTATACATTCCGTGAGTATACTGCATGTTATTTACTTCACCTATATTTACGTTTCCGTTGCCCACCGTGATTAGTGAGTAGTGATAACATTTAGTTGGAACTATATACCTTGCTCGATTTGTGAATTTGTTTTTTTTAAATCGAATTTTATTTTACTTGTTACTTTTGTCTGTGAAAGTTACTTGAGAGTTTGTTTTGTTTATTAACTTTTATAACTGTACTTGTGAACGTAACTAGATAATTCTAGTATATGAATTTATTTGAATATATTTGATTATTTATTATCCTTTTATTTATTATGATGTTTCTGTTACCATAATATTCATCTGTTTTTTTTTTGTGAAAATACTCCACTAGTTTGTTATTATTACTGATACAAAGATCAAACATACACAAAGAAAAAGTCTCACGATCTGACTGGACGAACCAGTGTCTGCGGCCACGTGGCTCTTATTATTTTTAAGCCGGGTGCTCATTAGCGAGCTGTAACCGTAAGTGTTGCATGTTATGTTACCAGAAATTGTAGTGTGTAGATACGTGGTTCGTGAATGCGTGCGGTTCGCAGTGAGCCGATGATAACCAGGTACTCATTCCAGCGAGTTGAAGACTGTTTCATGCGTACACATTAGAACCTCGTTGCTGTATCTGTCAGCCGCCTTGCTGCGGCAGCCGCCTTGTTGTTTGCACGATAGAATATCGTCACATTTTTATCGTATATCGTTTTTTTATCGTCGAACGACTGTCTAGCACTTCTAGCTCTTCCCATTTTCATGACAGTCAGTCATCGTTACGTCAAAAAAGTCTTGTACCATATGTGAACAACTTCAGTTAAATATACAAGTCACGACACTTTAAACTGCACGACTATCTGTCGTCACGACATAATGGGAACGCGCCCTAACCATCTACTTTTACACACACGCGCGACTTAAACAGCGATACAATCGGGATGAACGTTACAGCTCGCTAATGAGTACCCAGCTTAATATACCTTTTTTTCAATATACTTGTTTATAGCTGTTTAATTAGTGTTAAGTCAATGGATTGCTTAAGTCCGAACGGCTCTTATACGCGGATTCTTAGTTTAGGACCTAGGCACAACTTTACATCTGAGTATCTTTTCATTCAAACTTTATTGGAA